CAGTTGTAGTACTCGGCTTCCGCCCAACATTCCGAATGCATATGGACTGCAGTTTGTCCACATGCATTCGAAATGCTGGCGCTTGGCGAGTGCTGTCCACATGCATTCGATGTTCAGTCCGGTACTTAGCGGTGCAATTGCCTGAGGACTGAGCTGAGAATCGAAGCACGAGTCAGGAATGCTGGAAAACGCACACCCCAACTGCAGAGGGCGGCAACAGGCAGGAGGCAGAGAACAGGAAAACAGAAAGGGTCCGGTCAGATTTAAGTGCGAAAATGAAGGTTGTGTTTGCCATTGCATTGCCAGAAATGAAAAAAATAAAAATAAATAAATAAATAAATAAATAAAAGAATGAAAACTCATGGGGGTCGGCGCGTTGGGGTGTGCGATTTCCACAGTGGCCACAAAGCCACTGAGAAACTGAGAGAGCTGTCTCTTATACACATCTAGATGTGTATAAGAGACAGTCGTTAGACTGTGAGGTGAGAGAACTGCAATACACACACATCTGTGATGCTGCATCACAGAGCGATGGGGAAATGGAGAACGGAAAGAAAAAGGTGCAGCAAAACATGTTGCAAATAGTATCCCATCCGTTGCCCGAAAGACGATCATAACAGCAATTCAAAAGCAGTTTATCCGTCAACATCTATCCTCGATTCACAAGCCACTGACATTTGTCCAAAAAAAAGGAAACGACAACTGTCGACAACGACGACGGGGCTTGGCGAGTGCTGCCCGAAATATACATAATCGCTCAGCGGCACCACAGGTCACCTGTTGTGCCGCTGTACATTTACCATGCAAGGACCAGTCGTAGTACTCGGCTTCCGCCCAACATTCCGAATGCATATGGACTGCAGTTTGTCCACATGCATTTGAAATGCTGGCGCTTGGCGAGTGCTGCCTACATGCATTCGATGTTCAGTCCGGTACTCAGCGGTGCAATTGCCCGAGGACTGAGCTGAGAATCGAAGTCCGAGTCAGGAATGCTGGAAAAACGCACACCCCAACTGCAGAGAAGGCAACAGGCAGGAGGCGGAGAACAGGAAAACAGAAAGGGTCCGCTCAGATTTAAGTGCGAAAATGAAGGCTGTGTTTGCCATTGCATTGCCAGAAATGAAAAAAAAAAAAAAAAAAAAA